AAGTCCATGCTCTGAGCGCCCGGAGGAGGTGAGGAGGAGGAGGAGGAGGAGGAGGAGGAGGAGGAGGAGGAGGAGGAGGAGGAGGAGGAGGAGGATTGATGATAAGGAGGAGGATTGATGAGAAGGAGGAGGAGGAGGAGGATTGATGATAAGGAGGAGGAGGAGGAGGAGGAGGAGGATTGAGGATTGAGGAGGAGCAGGATTGAGGAAGGAAGGCACCGGCGCGTCCCCTGCTGTCCTGACCGCGGCGCGGAGCCACGCCGCCGCTGACGAACAGGCGAGCAAGCGTGTGTGTGTGTGTGTGGTGTGTGTGTGTGTGTTGGGAGCCTGTCAGCCACGTGCGAAGCTTCCACGCACGCGCGCGAGCAGCGGAGCACCTGCAGTCGGGGCGTTGACCTAAGGAACCCTAAATAAGGAGCGAGGCCCCTCTTTTCCAGAAGTTCAACCTCGATTTCCCATCGAAAACCTAAGGAAACCTGGAGGCAAGCTGCGAAACACTTAAGGCACGCGGAGCCCCTCCCCAACGAAAAGGGTTCCGTCTTCAGGGCCCCGACTGTAGCGGAGCACCTCTTCGGGATATGTTGCGAACGGCGTGCTGCCTGCCAGGTCCTTGCGCAGCTGGGCCGCGGCAGCACGCTCCCGTCGCATTGTGTGTCATGTGCCCCGGGGGGGCCCCGGGTCTGCCAGGGTGGGATGCGGCTGCGCGGAGCAGAGCTGCCCTCGCCCTTGGGCACCCGGATCCCTCGAGAGCGCCGCTTCACGAGAGGGGCCCAGCGCGAACCCCACTAGGCATCGCCATTGGGACCCCAGACAAGCTGCATACTTTTTTGATCTGCAGGGCGAGAGCGAACCTCTTCTGCTGAAAGCTAAGCGGGACGCGCACAGATTTCATTAGCAGAGAAAGGGCGGAAGAAGGCGGGGCCTGACAAGCTGCATACAAGCCAAGCCAAAAACTGAGGTAAGACGCTATCACACGCCACGACAATTCTCAGTGTGCTGCTTTTCTGACTTCGAAGATTGCAAAGCACCGTCGCACAACACTGCGCCTTGCACTACATGTCTCGGCTTGCTGTGCTCTGTGCTGATGTGCGTCGCTGTGTATTTGGATATGTTTCCTTTGTATGGCGAACGTTTTCAAACAGACCACAGCCGACGCGTATCCTTTTCGAAAGGAAACATTTTTCGGACAGTTTCCTTTGTGGTTCCTTTGGAAAGGAAACACACATTCCTTTGCAAATGAACCTCAAAGGACAGGACACATATCCTGTGCAAAAAAGATGCTTCGCACAGGATATGTGTCCTGTCCTTGTTTCGCAAAGACAAAGGAAATCCGCCGATCCGGCGTGTGAGTTTCAAGGAGTCTCAGCTACAGCCTCGAGGCTGAGCCTCAGCCTCTGGGGGGGTTGCCAGGGTGGCTCTGCCGGGGAAGGGGGGGTAGGGGGGGGGGGGGTGCGAGTTTCCGGCGGATGCGTTTTTTAACACCCCTCACAAGGATCGTGGCCTCCGAGGGGGTTCCGAACTCGAGTACCACCCCTCCCGCACCAAGAGGCTCCGAGGAGGCCTCCAAGAGGCCCCAAGGGGCGCAGAAGAGGCCCCCAAGAAGCCCCAAGAGGCTCCCAAGAGACCCCCAAGAGGCCCTCTAGTGGCCCCAAGAGGCCCAAGAGGCCCCCAAGAAGCCCCAAGAGGCGCCCAAGAGGCCCCCAGAAGTCCCAGCCAACCACGAGATCCCAACCAGCATCCATGAGGCCTCTGACCCACCACCCACGCACGGTGGCGGGATAGGCCGACGGCCACTGGATAAATGCTGAGTGAGAGGAGGGAAGGAAAAAGAGAGGAGGGACGAGGGCGAAGAAGGACCACATCAGTCGGAGCGCCCCGGATCGGCGGCGCTGGCCGAAGGCCACTACAATACAAAGGATCCTATGTGTGTCCTGTTTATATGCTTTCGCACAGTGCGCGGATTGGGGGGGGGGGCGGAGGGGGCGGGGTCTGGCTCTGGACCTCTGCCTAGTACGACTGCTTGCACCGGTGCGTCCCCTGGGGGAGCCTCCACATGCTCGAAACAGGCGCCAAAGAGCAGCCAAGATCTACTCCACGGGGGGGGGAGGGGGGGTACGAAGGCCCGCGCCGATCGGCAGAACAATGAATAAGACAACGATCACTATGCGTCGCTTTGGATCGGATGTGTTTCTCTTCTGCCTTGGTGATCGTGCACTTACGTCGCGTTGCCCTGTTTGCCTTGATTTGCACTGCGTTTCGTTGCATTACACTGGTTTGCGTTGCAGCATCTGTGCAAAATTCGCCCCTCCTCGAATCGATATGAATGACTGACGTACCCGTCGTAAGCTGTCGTCGAGGCGTTGCCAATACCATGTCTACAGCGAATGTTTCCTTGTGGCATGCACATGGTGATCAACGAACAACGTACACTCAAACCTGTAGGGAGGAGGAATGGGGAAGGGGATGGCGATGAACGCGCTATAGGTACGGGTGCGAATTGTGGACCCCGAGGGGGGTTCCCATTCGAGCGGGGACCCCCATCCGACAACAGGCTCCCAGAATGAACTCCCCCCAGAATTCCACCCCAGGGATCCGAAGGGACGTCCATGCCTGGGTGTCAGCTGTCAGCTCGTGGTGTGGCGGGGTCGAAAACCCTGAAGCAAAAACCTTGCCGTCTCTTGGGAAGCCGATGATTCCTTCCGCTTAGCCTCCGCCGAGCTTTCGCCGGCTCCCGCGGGGGGGGCGGCCTCGCTCTTTTGTCCGCCGCCCTCCGCCGCCTGCTGCCCGGGAGGAGAGATATGACTGCCTACCAGACCACCCCAACCCAACCCGAAGACCCGAATTTGACCCGAATTTCGGGTTGGGGGGGGTACGGATTCCATGTGTTTTTCAATGTTCCCCGACCCCCCCCCACTGGAAATCGAGGATAAGTTTGGGCCTTCGGGTTGGGTTGGGGTGGTTTGGTGGGTGGTGAAGATATGAACTCCTTCGACCCTCGAAGGCGAGGCCCGTTCAGGAAAGCCTCCTATGGCGCCACATCCATGCGTACTACGTACGATAGGCTCTTGCCGTGTCGACGCGGCGGCAAACTCGCCGCGGGCCGAAGACAGTCAATGGCCGAGGACCAGCCAAGATCGAACGAGTCGGCGATCGGAAAACCGCCGATCGTTCAGTGTTGAACGATCCAAGCGTTCAACCAGAAACCAGCGCTATGGTCATCACGACACGAACCATACGTACCCTAGCGCCCAACATCTGCCGCCCTCCTTGACAGGACACGAACATGGACTCCGTCGAGGACTGCGCCTGGTCCACCCCCCCCGCGCTCGCAAAAAGCCGCCGCCACAGAACACGCACGCGCAAATGGCCCCAGCAAATCAAGCCGCAAGTCGGCGTGTCGTACATACTCTTGCGGGCAAGGTCCGGTCGAGCAATCCAGGCGGTGCCAGAAACCAGCGCGCCAGGGTCGTCACGACACGAAGCAGACGCACTCTACCGCCCAACAGCTTCCGCCCTCCCAGAACAGGCATAGACTCCGTCGAGGAATGCACCTGGTGCTCCAGCTACGCCCGCAGAGCCGCCACCACGGGACTACCCATCGGTCGGAAGAAATAACTGGAAACAGGAAGTAGGACCTTGAAAATAGATTGGGTTCCGTCCGCCCCCTTGGGAGCACGGAAAAGGTGAAGCAACCCGATCATTGAAATGGGAAGGCGCTTCAAGTAGATTGGAATCAGGGAATCCAAAACTCCGCCGATCCGGCGCGTGAGTTCCCAAAACCCTCAGAACAACCTGAACCTCAATTCCTGAGCTTCAGCTCCAATCAATGGGGGGTGGGTGCCGGGGTGGCTCTGCCGGGGTAGGGGGGCAGGGGGGGGGAGGGCCCCGACACGGGCCAAGAGGGCCCCGAGTCGCCGAACGATAAGACGCCCAAGATATCTCCGAAACGGCTCCAGGACCCTCCAAGATGCCCTCAGAAGTCTTGAAAGGCCTCCCCCCAAAAAGGCCCAAAAAGCAAAAAGTCTCCCATTCCTCAAGGACAACGTGCAATTTTAGCATATTCGCCTCTTGGGGCTTCAGAGCGTCGCAGACGCCCCAAGAGAGCTCCAAAACGGCGCAAGAAACCGCCAAGAGGGATCCAAGACGGCCCAAGAAGGGCCCAAGATGGCCGAGGAGGCCCCCAGAAAAGCCCAAGAGGGCCCCAGGACGAGCCCAACAGGCGCCTGACAGGGCGCCAAGACGGCGGAAAAAGTGCCGAAGACCCCAAGAGACCCCCGAGGCGCTCTCAAGAGGCCTCCACGGGGCCCCCAAGAGGCTCCCAGAGGCCCGCAATAGGCCCCCGAGAAGCCAACCGGATGCCCACATGAGCCCTCGCGGGCGTGAACAAAAAGCACCCAGCCGCTCCAGCTCCAACAGTCTGCCGAACGCCCTGGACGTCTAGACTCCGCCAGGGGTCGGCGGCATGGCCTGAGCCACTTGATCAGGCAACACGCACGACGGAATCCTCAACAACCCCCAACGAACCCATCTCATGACGGTGCGAGAGAAGCTTCGAGAGGGCCGGGTCCAGCATCGCGATCGTGAAGGTGGTTCCAGAATACTCCGCCTCGAGGGCGGAGCGCAAGATCCGTTGGCGCGAACATGAAGGACGGAACGCAGATGGGATGAGGAGCGCATGGGAGTGGAGCAGTGGGAGAAAAAACACAGGGAAAATATCAAAGAAGGGCAAGGACAAGGTCGTCGAACACGAAGTCCTGAGGACAAGGGAAGAGAAGGAGGGGGAAGAACAGGAAGGGGAAAAGGAGAGGAATAGCAGTGGGATGGGGGAAGAGGACGATTGGAGGAATGATAGGGGGGAGGGTGAGATCATCGGCAGGGAGGAGAGGGCCTCAAGACCCCTAGATGGGTGCCAGAGTTCACACTCTCGTCCTCCTCGTCTTCGTCCTCCTCGCCCTCGTCCTCCTCGCCCTTTCCTCCTCCTCCTCCTCCTCCTCCTCATCATCATCATCATCCTCCTCCTCTCGTCCTCCTAGTCATACTTTTCGTCCTCGTCCTCCTCCTCCTCGTCTTAATCCTCCTCCTCCTCCTCGTCATCCTCCTCCTCCTCGTCCTCCTCCTCGTCCTTGCCCTCATCGTCCTCCTCCTCCTTGTCCTCCTCTTCCTCTTCTTCCACCTTCTCCTCCTCCTCCTCCTCCTCCTCCTCCTCCTCCTCGTCCCCCACCTCCTCCTCCTCCTCCTCCTCCTCCTCCTCCTCCTCCTCCTCCTCCAGGCTGGGGCGTTTCGCCTGAAACGTCCGTACCATCTATGACCATGAAACTTCAACATCGGCAACGGTTTCACAGATCGAGGGCGGGTCGCTTCCAACATGTGGCTCTCCCCATTGGTGCCGTACACATTCGTTTCAAACAACTGCAAGAGTTTCACGGATTCGGGGCGGATCGTTTTCAAGTGTGGTTCTTGCCTTGGCGCCGCGTACATTCGTCCTAAACATTTGCAACAGCTTCTCGGATGGAGGGCGGTTCCTTTTCAAAATGTGGCTCCCGCCTTGGCGTCGCGCACATTCGTCTTAAACATGTGCAACAGTTTCACGGATGGGAGGCAATGTCTCTTCAAAATGTGGCACTCGTTTCGACGCCGCGCACATTCGTTTAATTAAACGCCGAATTGTACGGATTCTCATGGCTGTCGTACCAGAAACGGCGCTCGGGAAAAATGTAGGGCAATCAGGGCGCAACCGTTCTGTGGATTCGCGGCGTTGAAGTCCCAGGGACGGCATTCTGGCACGCTTAAGGATGGTCAAGACTCAGCAGTAAGGTTGATTCGTGTCGTTGAAGTTCCAAGAATACTCTGGCACGGTTCAAAACTTTCACACGGTTGTCTCCCGACCGGGCACTTCCCTGTGAAAGTGAACCCTCCTATGGGGCCTGTGAAGAGGAGCTTGGAGGGAGGGTTTGTTGCAACATCGTCAATTTCTCTTGGGTTTATACTGGTCCTCCTCCTCCTCCTCCTCCTCCTGCTCGTGCTTCTGCTCCTCCACCTCCTCCTCCTCCTCCTCGTCCTCCTCCTCCTCGTCCTCCTCCTCCCGTCATCGTTCATGCCCTCCGCCTCCCCCTCCTCCCCCGCATCCTCAGTTCACCATGGTTGTCGCTTTGATTCACTATATGTGCCACTTCTCCCCCCTTTCGCGTCAGCTCTCATTGGCAGCGTTTCCGAATGGGTTGGTGGGGATACTTTTTGGTACGCGGGCGCGCGAAACGAGTCGAACGCCGTGCAAGCAGGGGCAGGGCCGTGCCACAAGCCAAGGACAACTATCCTGGCGAAGGACCCAACCGCAGGGCAGGTGGGACGAAGCAAAAGGAATTCCCAATGCGGCCACGAACCGTGTGAGGGGTGCGCCACACTGGGGCGGGGCCGCCATGCGAACCCTGCCACTGAGGCCTTCGGTGGAGCTCCCTATGTCCCTGCGGGGCCACGAACCGTGTGAGGGGTGCGCCAATATGGGGCGGGGCCGCCATGCGAACCCTGCCACTGGGGCCTTCGGTGGAGCTCCCTATGGGGCCACGAACCGTGTGAGGGGTGCGCCAAAATGAGGCGGGGCCGCCATGCGAACCCTGCCACTGGGGCCTTCGGTGGAGCTCCCTATGGGGCCACGAACCGTGTGAGGGGTGCGCCAAAATGGGCGGGGCCGCCATGCGAACCCTGCCACTGGGGCCTTCGGTGGAGCTCCCTATGGGGCACGAACCGTGTGAGGGGTGCGCCAAAATGGGGCGGGGCCGCCATGCGAACCCTGCCACTGGGGCCTTCGGTGGAGCTCCCTATGGGGTCACGAACCGTATGAGGGGTGCGCCAAAATGGGGCGGGGCCGCCATGCGAACCCTGCCACTGAGGCCTTCGGTGGAGCTCCCTATGGGGACACGAACCGTGTGAGGGGTGCGCCAAAATGGGCGGGGCCGCCATGCGAACCCTGCCACTGAGGCCTTCGGTGGAGCTCCCTATGGGGCAACGATCCGTGTGAGGGGTGCGCCAAAATGGGGCGGGGCCGCCATGCGAACCCTGCCACTGGGGCCTTCGGTGGAGCTCCCTATGGGGCCACGAACCGTGTGAGGGGTGCGCCAAAATGAGGCGGGGCCGCCATGCGAACCCTGCCACTGGGGCCTTCAGTGGGGGCCTTGCGCGCCGCCATGCGAACCCTGAGCCCCTATGGGGCCACGAACCGAGTGAGGGGTGCGCCAAAATGAGGCGGGGCCGCCATGCGAACCCTGCCACTGGGGCCTTCGGTGGAGCTCCCTATGGGGCCACGAACCGTGTGAGGGGTGCGCCAAAATGGGGCGGGGCCGCCATGCGAACCCTGCCACTGGGGCCTTCGGTGGAGCTCCCTATGGGGCCACGAACCGTGTGAGGGGTGCGCCAAAATGGGGCGGGGCCGCCATGCGAACCCTGCCACTGGGGCCTTCGGTGGAGCTCCCTATGGCGCCACGAACCGTGTGAGGGGTGCGCCAAAATGGGGCGGGGCCGCCATGCGAACCCTGCCACTGGGGGCTTCGGTGGAGTTCCCTACGGGACAACGAACCGTGTGAGGGGTGTGCCGAAATAGAGGCATGCGGAGGGTGATGCTGATGATGACGCCGAATATCATGGTGATGTTGATGATGACGATGATGGTGATGACGATGATGATGATGATGGCAGGAGGGATGGGGGCAGCGGGAGGAGGAGAAGGAGGGAACGCGGGGCACCGTCTCTTCAAAACGAGGACCCAACACCACAGGATGGTTGGGAAAAAACATAAGGGTGAGCAACGCCACGCACAGAGCGGGACGGAGCACAAGGCAGCCGAATCGGTGGGGATACGCGAAGCGTGAATAATCTCAAGGCCTCACCATCAACAGCATCAACATCCCCGCGAGTGATCCAAGCTGGTCTCATAAGGCCTACGACAAGACCCCCAAAAACCCGGAGTGATCTCAGACGGACCGAGACCGACCCCAGAGTCTCGTCGCGATTGCCTCAGGATATCCTCCAGACAAAGAACTGGCCCCAAGAGGCCCTAAGAGGCATCCCTTGGGGCCCCCGAGAGGCCCCAGACAGAGAGTCATCAGGAGATCCTCCAGACAGATAAAATTGCCCCCCGGGAGCGCTCCGACGAGACCCTAAGAGTCATCCCTGAGGGCTCTGACCCACAACCCAGGCACGTTTGCGAGATGGGCCGAAGGCCATCGTATCCGCCGCCCCCTGTGGTCTTGCCACAGGGGTACCCGGCGCGCTAGATTTCTTATGATTTGGTTTTGATTCTTCTTCCAAAAGAAATCTCCCCTGGGGCTCCGGCCCGTCCCGCTGGCCACCCGCCAAGGACCGCAATCGTGCACAACGTCCGCAAAAAGTCTTCCAAGACGGTTCCAGATGGTCTCCAAAACGGTCAAGATGGCCTAAGATGGCATCCAAGATGCCTCCAAGACGGCCAAGATGGCCTCCAAGACGGCTAAGATGGCCCCAAGATGCCTCCAAGACGGTCCAAAATGCACCCAAGACAGCCTCAGATAGCCTCCGGATGGCCCAAGACGGCCTAAGAGGCCACCAAGAGGCCTTCAAGACGGCCGAAGATTCTGGTGGGCTGCCTCCCCCTGGGGTGGTCCAGTCCGCCCGCACGGAAATTTTGGCAACGCACGAGGTGCGGCCTGCCAAGGGCGCTCGAAAAACCCTACCGAGACCTCGAGATCCCGCCAGCCGACGCACCAGACCAACCAGGGAGGGCAGGCGGGGAAGCAGGCGACGCCGGCGAAGAGCCCCCGACCCACAGCGAAGGCGTCGTAGGAGGATAAGGAGGAGAAGGGGGACGAGGGGGAGGCGGAGGAGGAGGAGGAGGAGGAGGAGGAGGAGGAGAGGAGAGGAGGAGGAGGAGGAGGAGGAGGAGGAGGAGGAAGGAATGGGAGGGGAGAAGTTAAAAGATGAGGAGGACCAGTGTAAACCCATAAATTAAACCCGACCTCCAAGCTCCCTCTTCACAGGTTCCTAGAACGGTTCAGTTCTACTGAAAGAGCTACCTCGTTGGAAAATAACCGTTTGAAAACCCTGAAGCGTGCTAAAACATGATGCTCGGGATTCCAACGCCACGCCAACGTAACTGTCACACCCTCATGTTCCTGAAAATGTCCAAAAAGCGTCGGCCATTGGAATCCGTAAAACTCTCCAATTCCAAAGCAAACATGTGCGCGGCGCTAGAGCGAGAACCACACTTTGAAAACGAAACGCCCTCAATCAGTGAAATCGCCGGCAAATGTGTAAAGCGAATGTGCGCGACGCGAAATCGAGAGCCACATTTTGAAAACGAAGCGCCCTCAATCCGTGAAGCTCTTGCAACTGTTTAGGGCGAGTGCGCGCGCCGCGAAGGCGAGAGCCACATATTGAGAACGACCCGCCGTCTGTCTGTGAAACTGTTGTCATGGTTTAAGCTTCAGGGTCAGAAAGGGCGAGGAGGTCTCAGTCGAAACGCCCGGCCCGCCCTTTCGACGCGCCTCGGGGCACGAGAGGGAGAAAGTAGGTATGGGACAAAAAATTGGAGGAGGAGGAGGAGGAGGAGGAGGAGGAGGAGGGGGTGGGGAGGAAGGGCAAGAGGACTAAGCGGGCTAAGTGCAAATCGACCGAGAAGTCGCGCGGAAGACAGGGAGGGGGCCTCAAGCCAAGGCTACACCCCTCAGTCGGAATCCGAAGAGTGAGCGGGAAGGGGGCAGGGGCGGGGCCGTCCTCGGCGCCGAACACGGCGCAATCGGGCCCGTGGACGAGGACGGCGCGGCGCGCAATCGCGCGGCCACCGCGCGCAGCACGCGCGCGCCCTCGCTCCCTTCAGCCACGGACGACGACGACGAGCCCCTCGCTCCTCCCTCACCGCCCGAGAGGAGGAGAAGGAGGAGGAGGCGGAGGAGGAGGAGGAGGAGGAGGAGGCCCTCCCCCCCTTCTGGCAGGCCTCCTTCTCGAAGCACGTCCTCGACTGCACAACGAGGTC